ACAGGATAGGGTACAGGACGCAGCCTTGGCGGAGACCAGTGCGAACGTTGAATGGTTTCGACTTAACGCCCATTAACTCTGACGCAGCACCCGCTATCAGAATACAGTGGTTAAATGACCCTTAGCAGATGGCTATGCACGAGGGCATCTCCACAGTCTGTTGCGTGGGATCCTGTGATAGATTTTTTCTGCATCCACAAAACACATGTACACCGCGTGAGCGTACTCCCACGATCTTTCAACAATCTGGCGCAGGGGAAATATATGGTCAGGGGTGCATCGACCGTGCCGGACCCCACACTGCTCTTCTTGGATCTTGAGATCAACTATATCGTGGCACCTCCTTTCTAGCGCCTTTGCTAGGCTTTCCCTCGGAGGCTCAGTAACTTCATGCCCCTATAATTGTAGCATTCCTTGTCTTCTCCCTTCTTGAATGCGGGTACAATAACTCCCGTTCTCCAGTTCGCTGGTGTCTTTCCCGCAGTCATCGCAGTTTGACAGACACGTGTCAGCCAGCCCATGCCTTGTTCGCCCAATGCCTTGAGCATCTCAGGGCGGATTTCGTCAATTCCAGCAGCTTTTCCATGTTTCAAGATTTCATACCTTGTGCAATTTCATTTACAGAAATAGTAATATCCGTACCCTTCTGCTCTACTGGCGAGTCTTCCTGCTGTTGCGCCGGGTTAAAGAGTTCCTCAGAGTGCTCCCGCCATCGCCGAAAAATGTCATCTTCCTTGGTAAGAGGGTGTCCAGACCTGTCCTTCAAGACTCTTACACTGCCCTTCTTTTCACCGCGGTGCCGGCGGATGGTCTGCCAGAATACTTTGTTTGACGTGTGGAAATTCGAATCCAGCACCTCACCGAATTTCTCCCAAGAATCAACTTTGGCCATCGCCAGTGCTTTCGCTGCCGCCTTGCATGTGCCATATCGCACTCGAGTAGATGTCTCCTTATTTCCAAGCCACTTCTTGAACGCTGTTTTCGTCTCTTTAACTGCCAGTTGTACCTCTCGTTTCTGCCATGATGATCTTTCCTGACCTCCAGGCGGCAGGCCAACCCGTTTATGTCCGCAACATTCGGCGGCAGCCTCGAGTATGCCACTCTTAAAGAGCTGCTACTCGATTTCAACCTCAGTTGTCATTACTTGGATCTGTTAAAATCATGGTGCGACGTTGTTTGGAAATTTCTCTCTCGTGTCCACCGAAGACAATGTCTCCCATTTGATTCTCTTTGCTTCTGCCACCAGATCTTCGTATGGTACTCCATTTCTTACGGCGCAGCGTGCTAAGACCAACCATCACCTTGTTTATGATCGGTTGATAGCTCTGCGCCT